ACTGACAACCATTAAATTACAGGCTCCTGATTTGGGGAAGGTACATGTAGAATAATTTCAGCGAGGATCTAAAGCTATATCATTTCTTGCAAGAAGTCGAAAATAAAACCTAGGAGCAAGTTTCCTGTTCATGCAAGTGCACTATTACATCCTTAGATCATTGAGTTTTTGGTTGAAATACTTGTCATTTGTTTATAAGCTTTTGATTCATTCATCAGTTATTATTCTGTGAATGATGAAGGTGCATTGGGTGTGGCTAAATTGTAATTACTGTTTTCTTTTACATAGGAGTATGTACACAAAATTAATTTGTTGGCCTCATAATAATTTCTAAAATAAAAATCAACAATATAACAATGAATTTAATATGTTTAAAAGATAGAGGCAAGTGCATGGAAGAGTGTGACCGGTTCTGAATTGCCACCCACTAACTTCTGTAAAAGCTCAATTTGGAGTTCCAGTTATTTCTTTTCTAGGTCCATTTGAATGTTCTGCTTCTCTACTATCACTTATTTACCCTGCAGTGCACAATACTGTATGTCGTGTTTATCCTGCACTGTTACCTTTTTCGAGGGTGTTCTCACTATCCTACAAATAAAAAAAAAACATAATGCATTTTTTAAAAGATTGAATAATTTTACAACTCTTTTTATTGATCGATACCAAGGCATAATTCCACCAAATAGTTACTTACAACTCAGTTACTATATACAAAATGATTGGACGTGCCATTCAGAATATGTCACGTTTTCCGGCTTGAAATATGTGAATAGGTGGGGAAACTATCAGAAATATATGAAAAGGTAAAAAAAGTTCCAAATACTTGAATACTAAAAAGCCCTGTCTGAGACTGTCATTTTTCACATCCAAAAAAGTCTCGCCGAAAGTTAAATTAACATTACATACAGAATCTTAACCCTTATTTCAGAGGCGGATCCAGAAATTTTCACAAGAGGGGGCTCACTCCAGTCATGCTTCAATAATTCTCTATATAATCAACCAAATGTTTCCCACAAAAGGGAGAAGGGATGGGGGCATAGGCCCCCTGGGCCTTCCCCCTAAATCTGCCTCTGAAATATTCCACTGTTCCAACATATCACACGATACCCAACCATTATGAGAAAAGGTTACATTATTAACTACGCAATATAGGAAAAGGACTATACATTTTAAATATCTAAATTATATGAAAAGGGTGGGGTAACACTAGAACCCCAGCGGCACCCCTATCAATTAATTATTGAAGTCCCCCCCTTCCCCGATGCTTACTTAGGTGCTGACATGGCTAAAACTTGAATACATTTAAAGTTATTATAAGGAAATATATCACTATAAATCACTATAACATATGGTTCTATCCTTAGCAGAATTTGTCAATACTTTGTAGGTTTAAGTTTGAAAGATTGTCACGTTTAGTGACTGATATTAATGACTGCATTGTCATGAAGAACCAATGGCAAAATCTCACTTTGAGGTTCATTGTTGGAAATATAAACATGCATTGACAAATTTAATTTCATACATTGTATCAAGAAAAATGTTGACCAAATAAACTAGCGGAACCTGTTTACACAACACAGTTTTAAAGAGTTCTTGTTGAAGGCCTTACGGTGACCTATAGTTGTTAATTTCTGTGTCATTTTGGTCTCTTGTGGAAAGTTGTCTCATTGGCAATCATACCACATCTTCTTTTTTATATTCATAACTGACTTCTGCTTTTCTGTCCTATTTGTTTGTTCTGGAACAACTGTTCGTGTAAGGATTGGGTCATATCCAGTCAGCAGAGACGGACTTTGTGGTCTGAGAGGGGGTGGACTGTCACCAATCAGTGATGCCGCTGACTCATAGAGATCCTGGCTGGCATCTTCTTCTGGCAATGTGGCATTGCTAGTTTGTGGATCTATAATATTGTGTTTGGGTAATTTTTTTTTATCCTTTTATTTGGAGGGGCAATGCAAACATATCATCATTAAATTAAATTCAGATACAATGTACTTTAAATTGCAAGTAAAAAAAAATTGCACAAGACTAAATAAGACACTATTTCAACCCTTTTAAGATTATTAAGGGTCTCAGCTATAAACTATGTGTTCCTGTCTAGGTTCAGACTGCATCAACGAATAGATAAACTTTATTCCGGATTTATGATAACCAGTCCGTATGTGTTTTAGTAATATAAATCATGACTGGTTTTCGCTCCAAATTAGCTCTTGTGGTTCCTTTTAATCTAACAACAGATACCAGTTTGAAGCCAAGTCGTCTTCAAACTGGTATCTAATAACGACTTGGCGGGCACCTGCCACTTGTAAACAAATGTTGAAAATAACACTTTAAAACTGTTATCAGTTTAAACAAATGCAATCTTGCAATAGTAAAAAAGAGGAAAACCTTTAAACCAACAAGAAACACGTTGGCAATCATTTAAGTAATAGAAAATTGGTCAAAATAAATTGTTTTCAGTCACGTGATATCAGTTGGGAATTCCCCTTCCTGTTGTGACGGCGGAGCAGACGAAAATTTTACCAAAATTGAATAAGGGAACCTATGTATCCCGGGATTAAAAAGGCTACGAATATGTGTGTTATTTTCATTGAATTTCATTGAAAATTAACCATAACAATAAAAAAAACATCTTCAAAACAAAATTTTGCCAAAAATCGTTTGTTTATGTATTAATAAAAACATGTAGTTGAATGAAACTGTTCAAGTTCACTTTTTACAAAGTGCAACAAAAAGGGTAGAGCCTTGAGAAGTTATAATTAAGGAAAAACACATTTTGGGATATACTCTTATGTGCTAAATATTATTTACTTACTTGTCTGGAATGACTCTGTTTCAAGTCCACCCTGAAATCCTCTGAACCTGATGGTGTGCTTAATCAGGTGGATAACTCTCTCCTCGCTGTGCTGAGTTGCTTGGGAGCTGGTCCTTCCCCAGTTTTGAATATTTCACACCTGTGTGTTGAAAAAACGGCCTTTGCCACTCTTGTTGTGTTCCTCTATTTGTTTCGTACTTCTGTTGAAGTACGAAGAGCAACTCCGAGAGAATTTACCTTGATGGTAATCTCATCCCAAAATTCTTTTTTTAACTTATTTGTCACTGTGTTGGTTAGTTTTTCATTTATGATATTGGAGTTTTTTTCAACAAGTTGTTGTATAAGGTCCTCTTCTCCCACAGTAAAGTTGGTCTTTTTAATTCTTTAACCATGCTTGCAGTTGGTTCAGCAGATTCAGCCATTTTTTTACAGACAGGAAGCTCCAAAACAATGGGTAGCTTGATTAATCAGTTGATTAAATTTTAACGCATTGATTAATCGGTTGATTACATTTTGATTCATTGATTATTTAATCGACACGTTAAATATTGTTGAACAACAGAAAATAAACGACTCGTTATGTAACGACTCGTTAAAAGATTTAACGACTCGTTAAATTTCATCAATCGTTAAAATAACGACAAGATGAACAACAGTCCCCATGTCTTTTATAAATTTGCGAAGCGGATACGGAATTTTTTATATTTTCAAAAAAAAAAAAATCATATCGCTTGTCATAGGTTTTAATACTGAGATGACCGCTTATGTCAAATTCAAGGTATACGTTTGAAAATGAGACGGATGGAGTCGTGTGTGTTGTTTCTTTTATTTATAGTTATGGAGGATATAATAAGGGAGCCTATTCAGAAATATATGGTAGCGGTCTCCCTGGAATACACGAAGACGTGATGTTAACCCCAATGTTTGAAACCGATTATCTATAAGTTTGACTTTGTTTTTTACTTATCTGCTCAGCACGTTGATACTAGTAGAAAGAGCGAAAATATGTAAATATGATTAATCAAGATTTTATCTTTTTACTATGTGTGTCTGGTGCTAAGCACGTTATATTAATATTTTAACAGGTTGCTACATACTGAAAAGGCATGTGATATTTCCCTGCTAGATTGAAATGTAATAGGTGAATTAAAGTTGTTGCATAATACTTATACATCTTGTTTATATTTATATATTTAGTTCAATTAAATAATCTGTTCTAATTTTGATAATGTAATTTGTATTTGACAAGTGTATCGATTGTACTAGTAAGCCCTTTATTGTCTATTTTAAATAAAATAATTCACAGAAGCAAATTGGTGTTACTATTGTTCATTTACTAATATATTGACATTGGCTAACCTTCAATTGGTCTGTCTTATTTGAATAAGGTACATTAACATTAAGCTTAGCAATACTCTGGCACAGCATTCTACCAGATAACATATGTCACTACTTACATTTTCGTCAGAGAATTGTGTGTCTTTTGATTCATTCGGATTTTGGTACAGATTGTTTGTACATGTACAAATAAACAAAAGGATAAAACGTAAAATCACAAAAATACTGAACTTCGTGGATTAAACCGTGGATTATAGCTAGCTTAACCTCTCACTTTTATGACAGTCGCGTCGCTTAAAATTCAATTATATAGACAAAGATGTGTGAATAAAACAAACAGACATATTAGGTAAAAGTGACAAAAATAGGGATACAGCAGTCAACACTGAGTTATAACCCAGCAAACACACAACATTTTAAAAACATTTTTTAAATGTCATATGGACGTCTCTCACAAAATATTTCAATAAGATATCATTTAAACATAAAAAAAATGTTTATTTTATTGTTTTTGAAATGTTTTATTTCTAACATTTAAGTAAAATGTTTTTACAACATTAACAAAATATTGTTTGCTAATATCTTTTATTCATGTTCTCAAACATTGTTCTAAAATATCCCGTAGATATTTTATAATATAAAAAAAATAATATTTTCTTCAATTGGTATTTTATATTTTAACAACATTTAAAGTAAATATTATCCAAATATCCAAAAAACATTCTGCAAAAAAATGTTTTACAGAAAATATAGTTTTGCTATTTGCATAAAATGTTTTATAACGTAAAATTGTAATGTTTTACATAAAACATCTGAAAAATATCAGCTAAATGTTTTCTATAAAATATTCTGACATACACATTACTTAATAGTCTTACTGATATTTTATTCAACATTTTACGGATATAAAAATAACATTTTATTTAAACTTTATTCAAAATCCCACAAACAACGTTTTGTGGAATTAGCTCGTTTTTTTTCAGGATAAGATATAGTACTACATTTCATCAATATCATGACAAGCAAGATACTATGGTTGAAATCCTTAATTGATATCTTGAAGATCCTTGAAGTCAGATTTTATTCCTTCTTATATTAAAATTCAAAAGAGTCAACATTAAATTAAGCAATAATGTATTAATGAACAATCACCTTTCTTTAATGTTTATTCATTTCGGTCGTGTATATTTAAGAAATTAAGAAATGAAAACTGTAACTGTACTAAGTTCAATTTTCGTATCGTTTATATGCTTTACGGAAAACCGACCTTTTCCGGAATCGACTTTTGTTTTATCACCGGAAATGATTTTGAAATTTGAATTTCGAAACGAAGACAGGATATCAACAAAGAGGGTAGAGCCAAGAAAATTGTTTGTTACGCGATATATACTCACTTGGTAAGAATGATAAATCTGTTAAGATGAAACTTGTGCATTCATTGTGTGTGTTCAATCATAATCGGAACCAAATTACATCTGTTTCTGGAGGTGCGGATCAAGGTTTTGAAAAAAGGGGGCCCTGCGCAAGGCAAGCAAACGTTTGGAGTGATACTTGTAAATAGTCTATACATTTATCTTATAAGTAGCTCCATAAGGGGGTCGTGGCCCCTAAATCCGCCACTGTTCAAGCATCTACGTACACCAATTTGGCAATTATGAATTTGTTCATTGATATAAAAAAAATTATAATGATACATGGCTTGTGTGTTTGATTGCCAATACATCTTATCGCTATTTGTCCGCCATTATTGGCCATGGACATCACAAAAGTTCCCGTAAAATGTTGACGTCATATTAGAAAATATTTGACACCACAATTGAAAGTAATACACCTTATTGCTATTCGTCTGCCATTACTGGACATCACACAACTGTCACAAGTTCCCTTAAAATTTTGACGTCATCATAAAAAATATCTGATGCCACATTGGAAAAGTGATTGTTGTTTGACGTCAAAAGTTCAAGCAGGATAGATTCTCGGGTCAAGCGGGAATAGCGATAAGGTGTATTATTGTATGACGTATGCTGACGTAAAAAGTTCAAGCGGGACAGATTTCCAAATACTGAAATAGAGATAAGGTGTATGAGACAGCTATCCACCAGAATTTAAATGACTTGGATAAAAGAAATTATAGGTCACTTTTAGGCTTTCAAAACTGAGAAAACCAATGCCATATAGTCCACTTTGAAGCCTTGACAAACAAATGTTAAATTTTTCTCAACACAATTGAAACAAAACAACTAACTGCCTACATTAAATACACATTATGAAAAAGAAATTTGACAGACTTAAACCAACAACAACTATTGCAAAAAGCATGACTCAATACCTTGTTTCCGAGGCACACAAACAAGTTACAATAACACTAATATAAGCACCATTTGAATATGGTTATTTTTTTTTTCTAGTAAAATCACTGTATGTATGTATTTGCAAAACAGTAAATTAAATTTCCCTTAACAGCTTAATGAACATTACAAAGACTATGCAAGACTTCAGTATAAGCAAGATAATATAAACTGTTAATTAAAATTATATTTATTGCTTCATACACACAATGTACATACAATGTATCTTTATTTTTTAACAGGAGCTAAAAGAAAAGCCACAAAGGACAAGTTCAATATGCAGGTTTACAATTTGGAAGTGGCACAGGTCCTTTGGAATGTTTACAACCTTTCAGGAGAATTTTTTTTTGAAGTAAGATTTTCATACAGAATTACTGTTATTCCATATTTAATTCAAATATTTAGCACAAACAATGCATTACATTCAAGATTAAGGGCATACAATACAGAAAAGATATCTGGATATTTCAATAAATGATTTTTTTTGTGACAAAACAGAAACAAGTTGTTTATTTAAATCAATCTTTTAGTCCAACAGAGTGCTAATTCATAAACAACATATTTGCTTTCCTTTGAAGTATTTCAAATACATATAAACAACTCATTTAATGACATCTGTGTGTTTCTCAGAAGTTAAGTTATATTATTATCATCATTGCGAAAACAATGCGTAACACTTCGATAAGTTATTATGTGCCTATAGTATACTTCTAGGACTGGATCATATGCCCTTAGATACAAATGACAAGTTATAAACTATGTCACTCTACAGAGTTTAACACTTAAAAAGGACAATAAGATGTTTAATGACATTATGTAGCAGGGCTTTTAAAGGCCCCTACATGATACAATGCATTTAATGAAAACTAAAAAAAAAACAAGAAAACAACAGCCTGATTTATACAAAACAATAAAAGAAAAAAAAATATGATAGACAACAATCAACGAGTATAATGAAATAAGCCTCTTGACTGGACACATATCCAGTCTAAAGTATTTTATGTGGTTTTTTTTTAATAACTTAATGAAGTTCAGCGTGGCATATTGCTCTCTCTTCACACGGTCAGTCATTTATCGTCCCCTTCTGACAGACTATCATCGTTATTTGTTTCAAAACTTTAAAGGGGAGGGGATGTATAATCCTTCAGGCAACGTGAATCGTTCTATAATAAAGGAATGTGCAAGAAGTTTATATATGAATGTAAGGTTAATTTTTTTTCAGAAGCATGGCACAGCAAGAAAAAGATATAAGACACTACGAGACATTCCAAGTGATTTTGAATAAGACAATTGATTGACTTTTTCAATGTATTCTTAAATAAATCAAATAGTTGATGTAAAATGGTGTTTTGTTCTCATCTCTTCAGCCAATTATCAATGATTATTGACTTAAGATGTAACCCTATTAGAAGTGTAGCGTTTTAGTTTAGAAAGAGAAGTTGTATTGAAAAATCTGAATTTGGGACACAAGTTTTAGTCAATGTAACTTGAACTTAAAAATGTGTATTATGTTTGCATAATGTCCAATGGCATATATGTCATGCATGTTCAGGTTGACATATGCATGATGTGTATAAGATAGGTAATAAAAGTTGAGAGTGAAAAACTAAACATTATACCATTGTGGTTGGAATGTGAGCTTTCTTGCCCTGTCTGTCGTCTGTCCACCTATATTTGTCGGATTTTGTCCAACAAATATTTTCATCACTGTTTTTCCCAAAACTGCTGATAAAGATGAGTTCATATTTAATGAGCTGCTTGATAGTGATGAACTGTGATGTGTGAACATTTTTGTATCTGGCACCTGTTTCCTGTTTGCTTATACATTGTATTTCAAAATGTTGAATGTTCTCAAATTTTTCATTACTTTAATTAGTAATGCTGATGAACAGACTGACTTCATATTTGATAAGTGGCTTGACCATGATGAGTTGTGTCTGCCATTTTGGATGTGTCAAAATTTGTAGATACTTCTTGTTTTTAGAGACTTTGAATTGTGAATTTCATATGCTTAGCAAAACAACTGATTTGTTCTTGTTTGTATATAGAATTAATCACTGTGTATAAATTAATTTAACTAATGATTTGTTATTTAAAAAAGCAGGAAACTCAATCAAAAGTACAGAAATTTTTCTATTGATATGATCTAGATATCAACCAAAAACACCTTCTTAAAACATTTTGAAAACATTTTTAAGGCACAGTCTCACTTGCAAGAAAACATCCAAAAAACATTTTTATAACATTTTTTGATGTTCATGATGTTTTTCAAACGTTCAGAAAATATTTCTAGAAAATATTTTTTAAAAGATTATCAAAATGTTTTATACGCCATTGTTTTTCACATTATCATGATATTTCTTTACAACATTTTAATTATATTATGCAAATATTTTAGAAAATATATTAGAAAACGTTTTAGCGATATATATTCTACCATACATTTAATGTTTTTCTCACGTTTTTTTGTGATATTTTCATGACATTAGACACAACATTTTAAAAACATTTTAAAGATGTTTTTGTGTTTGCTGGGAATCTTGATCACTATAAAAACAAACAATTAGGTAACAAAGCATATTAGCAAAAATGAAGACACGAATACAAAACTTTTACCAATGAACAATAACACAATGACAGGATGTATAAGTACTGAAATGTTCTTTTTTAGTGAAATAGAACAAGATTAATGACGATCGATATTAGATCAATGTGTCCAAATGTGTTAAGATACACTAGTTTCTTTACTTGTTCATCAGCTTAGTAAAATATATAAACAATAAGACGAGTTGTACATTTAGTGATCCTGAAGTAGAGATTAAGGTGAAACATATAAAATATAATGTGCATGTATATATCATGCATAGTAGTATAGCGGTTTACGTGTGTTGTGATTTAGGAACTAATTATTCCTGCTGTGCGTGTTGATGATTGAGACGTTTTTAAATAAATTGTTTGATTTAAAATATCATGAAAAGACAACTTATTGAAGAATGTATGAATGAAGTAGAAAATAATACTGTGTTTTCTACGTCTGGATAAACGTATAAGAGAAATACATAAATACATTTAGTTTGAAACACAAATTGTAATCACATGTCAGATTTTCAATGTATAATGCTTTTGTAATTACTGCAGGTGTCTTTAAGATATATATAATACTATGTCTGAAAATGACCTATATAATTTTCCTTAATAATATACTAGACAAATACATGGATTTTTAGACTAAAGATTGGTTGTACTTGTAGAAAACTTGTTTCAAACGGAACAGCACATCCTCATTTTTACAATGTGTGGTTTACCGTACCCGGAGATTTAGAAACGATCCTTTGAATAAACTTATTCTAAAAGGTTACCAATTCAACACTGTAATTAGATCTTTGAATATTGTTTTTATTGTTATCAATATTGATTTTGTAATCATTAAATTAAAAGCAAATTTAATATAATATGCATATGCATATGCTCATTCATGCAGTTCGATTCAGTTCGGCTCAATGGCACAATGTCTTGACAACTTGTAGACAAACAGCTACCCCTATAGCGCAGTATACAATATCACAACAGTGTCAAGTAATGAATACAAATCAACCAACAGAACAGATTCAAGCTGTTGATGGTACACAACTAGAACCAATCAAAACAAATGTGTTTGATATCAAACCAACAGCATTCTAGGAATAAGCATATAGTTAACTGAAGTGAATGGACGGTTTAATTATTAATACTTGTAAATATTCCCAAACAAATGTTTTAGGTGCGGAAGCTATTTGCGGCCTCCAAAATTAGTAAATTAATTACTCAAAGACATGTTCTTTAATGTTTAAATATCAAATTGTCTGTTTCTATTGTTTCTATGTTTTTTTTTAATATCTTAATTCATATTTGCAGCGTACATCAAATAGTTTTGTAAAGGAAATCATTTAAAAAGATATGACATCTAACATTTAATTTCATTGTATTTTCGACTATTTGTGAATGCATTTTATAGGATATTGTGGTTCAAAAACTATGTCAAGAACTGCAAGAAAGTTAAAGTTTGCCGAAATTATTGGTTTACTCTTCATATGAGTGATTACTTTAATTGATGTTCTTTTTGTCGTTTTTTTTGTCGGCAAACATTAAAGAAAGTACAGAGAAACTGTAAACAATAAAGATTTTCGTCATGAATTATATTCTAGTCCACAATGTTTGAGAGGAAGATCCTCATAAGTGAGCGACAAAGGCTCTTTAGAATGTTTTACCATTTGTCATCAGGGTCAATAGGTATCTGTTCGCCAAGAAATTTTTTTTTTTTACAAAATACGCGTTATGTATGAAATGGCTACACTCAGACACATTTTTAAAAGTTTGTCCCGGAACGGCTTTAAAATCCAGCTCAAAAATGGAACATGTTTAGTTGTTCCTGGCAAGTAAAACGTCTTTAAAAATTATATTAGTTGGCGTCACAATAACGGTTAAAAGGATTGATATGTTACTTCTACAACAGGAAGATACCAGTGTTTATTAACAACATATAACAGTCTTAAAACTGCCTAGTTAACTTAACAGATTTTGGCCAATATTGCTTCATAACAAACAACCCTGCAAAAAATAAACGCAACATATAATATGATATATATATAAGACAATAAGACAATACAAAGAAATAGACAAATCAAAAAGAAACTGAAAACATCTGAAGCATGTCTCAACCATAACTATGAAGGAACTTCAATTGTAATCATTATGGTAATTGGTATGTATTTTATTTAACTACGAAACCCATGCAAGTTGGCTGATAATAATGGTTAAGTAATGGTCAATGAAAAAGTTTAATATGGTTAAGACTACATTCGAGTAATATCAAGTAAAATTCAGACCAAATTAAGACTGACGGAGTAAAAATCAGTACAGTCGAGTACATTTATAGGCCATTATCTTGAATAACTTCAAAACTTGAATTAAAAATGTTGTTTGAGTCTAATTATCGTCTTTCTTTTTAAGGAATATGTATATAAATTTATATTCAATCATTTTGGTTCCATTCAACTTCTAAAGAATCTCCTTTTCAATGAAGACATAAAATAAGTCTTGGAATTTCCCAAAATCATGTATTTTCCACCAGGAAGAGCTTATAATGTAGCTTCTATAGGGACCCCAAACGCTTGTCTGAATTACTTCCTCCTTTTAAATAGGATTTAAATTACGGCCATGTAAAGATTGAACTTTAAACTCAGGAGCACCTGAAATCAATCCAATTTTGTTGAGGTCTCATTGTGATGCATAGTGTTTAGTTTTCTATGTAGTGGTGTGTGTACTATTGTCTGTTGGTCTTTTTTTCTGTTTTAGCCATTGCATTGTCAGTTTATTTTCTATTTATGAGTGTGACTGTCCCTCTGATATCTTTCGCCTCTCTTTCAAAGCAAGATTTATAGAACTGTATAACATTCAGTTTATAAATTGCGACTTACTATAATTTTAAACTACTAGTATTTAACATTATTCATAGAACGTGTATTGCGGGTCGTTTCATATATGAAACAAAAACCAACACCTTAAAATAAATATGGTTTATATGATAAATATATATAGAAAAAAAATCTAGAATATTAAAAAGACCAGCCTGCAAATATAATTTGTACCGGATTATCAGTTTGATGGTGGTGATCTTCTATAATTTTACATTGGACACTTTGACTTTTTGGGTGTAAAGATACGAGCAACGTTTAAATACTATTGAGTTTTTTTTGTTTTACGTTAATCAAGATTTCGGATAACAATCAATATTTGAAAATGTATCTGTATTACAGGGCTATTTTTATGAATAAACAACTAAATAGTGCATGATAACATTTTGTGATGGCATTCTATGTTTGCTATATCACAGTTCATTTCAACGCATGACAATACCACTAAACCAATCAGAATAAATTGTTTTGCAGTGTTTAAGAAAAGATTTTGCTTTATATCCATGTAGTATTTGAGAAGCTTGAAAGTTTTAAAGGGCGTATTTTCTGTATAAAGTCAATAATTATGTAGACTTGTGACGCCTAAACTTTCTATTAACTTACATACATGTACGCCGATGAAAGTTCCGAAAACTATACCAATACAGAATACATTTCTTTTTGAAATTATATCAAAACTTTTGGTAGACAAATTTTTATTCTTTATAACAAAAAGATGAACTTAAAATATCTGTCATTTCTCCCTACCCAGTTTATACGTATAACTTATTATGATGGTGACCGGTCAATTAATTAAATGACCTTCAAACTGGACCCCGGACGAGTTCATATTAATATTTATCAATGAACCTTTATGTACAAAAAATGTACGAAAGGTAATACTTTCCACTTCTTATAATTTCCCAAAATTTTCCACATATAGAGTAGATAAGTTATCTTTAAATAACCTGTTGTGACGGAAAAGGAAAATTTTACAAATCAGACGTTTTAATCTATTCATACTAGTCATTTTCAAAGAGAAATGCCGAAATACATTTTAAACCAGGTTACGCCTGGTCAAATTATTGGTTATCTCATAAAAAATACACATTTTTCAGTCTCATTATAATGTTATAATTACAAAACACAAAAGTAGTCTGTAAATAAAGTCAAATATGTTCGATTTTCCAATTTTTGGACATCAAAATTCAAAACGATCGTTTTAAGGTCAATTTCGTCTACCTCACGAAACCTTTTAAGGCACTATAATATTGTTTTTTATTCGACAAAACAAACTGACACTGGATAAAGCTATTCATTTAGCTGAAATATGACGATTAAAGCGCGGATCGCCATACAAAAGCAATGGTTGTCAACCCGGGACATCCCTCTGGATGTGCCACAGTGGTTTTATTAGCATCTTATAGCAGAACTGTTGTGCA